TGCATCCCTAGTAACTATAATTAATTACTTTTTCAAAGTAACGTGCCCACCACTGGTAATAAACATTAATACTTTCTACGCCTCTGGTATCAGCTCTATTTGCCTGCAGGTTTTTCTTCACTCTATGTTCATAAGTTGCTTGTTTTGCGTTTTCTGCTTGATTTTCACTGCGTTTTCACTTCCTCTTCGTTTCAGATCGGTTACATTGAAGGAGAACCGGACAGAAGGGGAGCATTTCCAGTCACCTTTGTTCACTTTATCACCGAGTGACTGATCAGTACTATGGAGAGCTCCCATCCTCCACCAGCAGTCTGACTGGATAAGGCCCGAACAGTAACTGGATCGCTGATCAAACCCAGAGGCTTACGGTCGGACCTGTGGTGAAATATCCATAACTTCTTAGCTGGTTTAACACAGTGGACTGAAAACTGCAACTGTTTAAACCTTTAAATTATGTTTGTGCCTGAGAAGATTATTTTGAATCAAATTGAGTCCTTTTGAATATATTTTTAGGAAATGTTTGAGTTGTGGAGCTTTAACAAAGAGGGAGACAGGAACGCTGTCTAGACATATGTTGCCTGTAAATAGATTTAGAAGCTTTATATGTTTGCTGACGTGCAGTATGCAGAGGAACTAACGGGAATCAGAATTAAGAGCAATGAGCCGTTGATGCTTATTGGAGCAAAACGCCTCCAAAACGTCCGACTGTTCCTGTAGTTTTATTCCAGTAGAGGGAATCTTTTGCTGAAATTTGGTGCCAAAATTTGGTCAATTTGTTAAAACTACACAGAACTGAAGAATGGGAGAGTTTTCAGAAAGCAGACAACGGCAGGAAAATGTTCCCTAACAGCCAATCACACGGCCCGATGAAAAGGACTTTTGTTTTTTTTCTTTTGCTGGCGGGATTGAAGCCGTGTTCATGCTTCCAATTTAAGAAAACAAAAAACTCTGAAATGTTTTTTTAATGTTTCATTACGTAAAAAGGGTCAGGAAGTTGAAATCTGCAACGACTGTTAGATTTTATTATATTCTTTCTGCAATAAAGACACTTTGAAATGATTGAGGATTCTGTCTTCTTTACAGTGTTCTGTTATACTAAGTTGACACATTTGAACCTCCCCAGAGTTATTCCAGTTAA